ACTACTACTACTACTACTACTACTACTACTACTACTACTACTACTACTACTACTACTACTACTACTACTACTACTACTACTACTACTACTACTACTACTACTACTACTACTACTACGTGCTGCAATGTACGCCATGTGAGCTAGTTGGCGAAAACTAGATGGTGCGGCGACAGGGTGCAAGCTGTGGTGCAAGCTATGTGGTGCAAGCTATGTGGTGCAAGCTCTGTGATGCAAATAACGTGGTGCAATCTGCGTGGTGCAAAATATGTGGTCCAAGCTATGTGGTGCAAGCTATGTGTTGTGATCTATGTGGTGCAGGCTAGGTGCTGCAATCTGTGCGGTGCCAGCTATGTGGTGCAAACTATGTGGTGTATGCTATGTGGTGCAAGCTAGGCGGTGCACCCTTTGCTGTGGAATCTACGTGGGGCAATATACGTGCTGCAAGCTATGTGGTGTGAGCTGTGACGTGTGAGCTACGTGCTGCAATGTACGTAATGTGAGCTAGTTGAAGAAAACTAGATGGTGCGGCGACAGACGGGAACGGGGCCGCCGGGCCCGCAGACGGACCTCCTATCCCGAAAACTTGGGCAGCGACGGACGGGAACGGGGCCGCCGGGCCCACAGGCGAGCCCAGTTCCTGAGAAGAGAAGTAGGAAACTCGAAGTGAAAGGAGAGTGTGGGAAAAAATGCTAATCGAACTCCAGTCGACGTGAAAACCGAAATGCGCATCAACTTGCGATCGAAATGCAGCTCGAAATGAGCGCATGCACATCGAAATGCACATCGAGATGCACATCAACCTGTAATCGAAGTGTCTACCGAATTGCACATCAACATGTAATTGGAAATGGGAATTGATCTGCAAATCGGAATCAAAATCGAACTTCCAATCGAAATTCAAATCGAAATACCGATTTCAAGAATAAACGAATGCCAATCGAAATTCAAATTCGATCACAAACTACCTGCAAAGAAGACTGCAAGTCACAAGTTCGAACGTCAACTCAAACTGCAATCGGAGTACGAATCGAACTGCAACACGATATCAATGTGGAACGTATGGTCGAATTGTCGAATTCCAATCGAGATGAAAATCGAAATGCGCATCAAATTGCATTCGAAATGCAGCTCGAAATGTACATCTGCAGGCACATTGAAATTCTTACCTTAGGGTACCCACATAGCTTGCACCACATTGCTTCCAACAACTAGCTCGCAACAAATAGATTGCCCCACACTGGTTCTACAATACTGCCCCACATTGTCTCCACCTCACAGCTTCCAAACTACAGTGCTCAGACTCACCGTCCGGGACCCAGGCTGGCAAACATGGTGGGCTGCATGATATCATTGTTCCTCTTCATCCTCCTCGTGAGACGAGACCAGGACCAGGACAAAATCGAACGCCGGTCTCAGAGATCTGGTATTTCTGGAGAATGTATCGGGCGCCGCGGCGATTCCAAAGCGCTCCAGAACGCTCTGAAAGCGTTCTGGCACGCTCTGGGGCGATTTATTCCAGTCCAGGGCCCGCCCGACCTCCTTCTCCTCCTCCTCCTCCTCCTTCCTCCTCCTCCTCCTCCTCCTCCTCCTCCTCCCCGCCCTCCTCCTCCTCCTCCTCCAACTCCTCCACCCCCTTTCCTTATAAAAAAACTCCTCCACGTCGCGCCCCCAGATGTGTCGACAAGGCGGGCCGAGCGTTCCGCCTGAGACCCCCTCACCACTTCTGATCCTGAACCTTCAAATTTGCCACAGCACCACGGATGGAGGACGAGCAGTTTCCAACATGTGGCACTCGCATGAGCGCCGCGCACATTCGTCTTAAATGTTCACAACAGTTTCAAAGATGAAGGGCGGTCCTTTTTCAGAATGTGGCTCTCGCACGAGCGCCGCGCACATTTGTTTTGAAAGTTTACATCAGTTCCGAAAATGAAGGGCGGTCCTTTTTCAAGAGGAAGCTCTCGCCTTAGCGCCGCTGAAATTCGTTCTGACAGTTTGCAACATGTTCAGAAATTCGCATGGTCGAAGTCCCAGGAATGGTGTTCTGGCAAGACTTAGGGTTGCTAGGACGCGCCACTCGCGTTGAATTGCGGAATTGAAGTCCCAATAATGTTGCGGCACAGTTTATGATTGTCAGGAGGCGCCAGCCATATTGGTTCGCGACTTTGAAATCTCAGAAATTGCGTTTTGACGCGATTAATAATTCTCAGACGGTTGTCTTCCAATAGGGAAATTCCCGCGATGAAAACAAATCTTGTAGGGCCCTATGAAGAGGGAACTTGGAGGGAGGGTTTGCTGCAACATCGTTGATGCTTCTTGGGTTTACGAGGACACAGGTTCCTGTGCGTTTCTGCCCCCGCCCCTCTTCGGGCCAATTAATCATCGTCGTCGTCATCATCACCACCATCATCATCATCATCATCATCATCATCATCAGCAGCAGCAGCAGCGGCAACAGCGGCAGAAGCAGTAGCAGCATCACCATCACTCGCCCACTCGCCCACTGCCCCCCCAACTCCGCTCCGGCAGGAAGTGGGAAGCGGGGGAGGGGGGCCTCGTACGGCTCCGGCCCAGGACTTCCTCCAGCGGCTGCATCCTGAGCAGGCCGAGCGCCAGCTCCTCGGGCCAGGCAGGCGGGGGCCGCGCGGACTTCCATCCCAGACATTCGGCGTCTCGATGTTTTCGAGGCACGGGCCCCCGACCTCTCGACCACTTCCTCGGGACCAGTTTTGCATCTCGAGTCGTTCTTTGATGGCCCCGAGGCTTGGCAAGGGCCCCGAGAGGTCGAAAACAAGGAAAAGACTACGTCTCGATTTATGTCGAGACGCTGGATGTCTGGGACCGTCGCCCCAGCGGGGGCAGGAACCGACCAAGGATCTGGGCCTGGATCGGGCGGCTGGTCTGGATCGTGCCTAGGCTGGCTGGCCAGACGGGCGACCCCGTGGCCCCTCACAGGTCCGTCCCACGGGGCCGCCCGCGCTACCTCCGCGGTCCGCCCAGACCGCCCGCGGACCCGCCCAGGTCGAGCGGCCGATCCGCTCCAGACACGGTCGCGTGTTTTTGTTTCTCATCACGACGGGCGTCTTGTTCGTGGTTTTCGGCCTCCAGGGGCCCTCGTCAGGCCCCGTGACCGTCAAAAACAGCTCAGGATGCAAAACCGGCCCTGGGGAAAGGGTCGGGACTTCCACGGGCCCCGTGCTGAAAACAATCGAGACATCGCATGTCTGGAGGTGGATCGGCCGAACCCGATCCTGCGCATCGGCATTCTGGTCCTGACCTGATCGGGCAGACGCCGTGGGCGAAGAGCATACTCGTATCCGCGGCCTCGCGAGCCGGGCCCCTGGGCCGCGACCCCCTCGGATCGCGGATGCCCCGCGCGGAGCGTATCCGTGCGACCGCGTCTCCACGGGATCGCGCCCTGGGATCCAGACCGCGAGGGCGCGGATACGGATGTTCGCCGCTCGTGACGACGGGCCGATCAGACGGAGCGGGACCTCGATTCAGATCGGGCTCCCGGTCGGATCGCGGATCGGGCCCTGGCACAAGCAGCGTCACGGGCCGTGGTCAAGATCAGGACCGGGCCCTGGATCGGCCAGATCGCGAGGGTGCTGTTCTTGCTTTTGAGAAACTACGCAAGGGAGCGATGAAGTCTCTTTAACGCAGGCCGTTGACCTACAAGCCAGTGCTCATGTGCGCAAGGACTTCGAACGCAGTCTTGGAAGCGGCTCAGCTCAACGGGAAACCCTGCTGTTTGAACCGCTTGAGTGGTTGCTGCTACTTGCTGCCGTGCACGCCAGCCTGCTGATGATACATCTGCGCCCCCAAAACACTGGAACAAAAATACCGGAACAGACAGTCGATATGGGTATATCAGACATTTCTTGCAATGGAAACTACACATTCTCTGCGTGGGCTTATGAACGGATTGGGACCGAAAAGACTACTGAGAAAATAATATCCCCCCGCGGCGGCCACTGCTGAGGCCTCCGCAGTCTTAGGGATTAGGCGAGGAGGGGCAGGACGAGGAGGCGAGGACAAGGGGGAGGGCGAGGAGGGGAGCACGAGGAGGAGGGTGAGGAGGGAGAGCGAGGAGGAGGGCGAGGAGGGGAGGGACAAGGAGGGGGTGGACGATTTTCAATCCCAGCCGAAAGCTATTGGGAGGGGTAACATTAAAAACATGTGCGGTGAATGCATCTTGCGGAGATGAGGACGTGAAGGTAAAACATCGCCACAAACGGAGGTATGATAAACCAGAAGACGTCCCGCGACCTGTAAATATGGAACAAAAGCGTAAATACTCGCGCCGTCGCCCCAGCCGCCAGCGCCGCAAATCCCCCAAGGGGAATCCCATGGACACCGCGGCAATAGCCACTGAGGAAGAATACAACGAGCTGAATGCCAAGCCGCCACCAAGACGAGGATGGTCACACACGCCCCACTTATCATACACCGGCGTTCACCGACGAGGAACAACTTGAAGAATAAGAAGCAGAGAAGAGGAGAAGAAAAAGAAGAAAACGAAGAAGAAGAAGAAGATAAGCCGAAAAACTAGCGCTCAAGTCAGCACACGTATGGTACAGCCTCTGTGAAGCGCAACCCCTGCAGCTAGCTCACTCGAACCAAGGCTGGCCCGAGCCGAAATGGAACTTGAGAGCAGGAGGATGAGGGGGGAGGAGGATGGCTGTATTCTCTGGAGGGCTCTGATGCCACCAGCCCGAGCCCGAGGAGGGAGGAGGAAGAGGAGGAGAAGGAGGAAAAGGAGGAGGAGGAGGAAAAGGAGGAGGAGGAGGAGGAGGAAACGGAGGAGGAAAAGGAGGAGGGTACTGATCCCCAGACGTCCCCGTGTGATCGCATTGGAGGAGGCTCGTGCGCCGGTGGAGGAGAGCCCGGGGAGGGTCCTCTCCAGCCCGCGCCGCTTGCACGGCCGTCTTGCCCAGGGGCCGCAGGCACATCTGGCCCAGGTGCCGCGCCACCTCCGCGGGCCGGGAGCGAACAGCGCCGGC